TCTTCTTCTTCTTCTCTTTCTCCTTCTCCTTCTTCTTCGTATTATTATTATTATTATTAAAATAGGCCCTTTAAACTGTCTTGTAATACTGGTGCCATGGTAACAAAGTCCTTTAGCTTTTGCTTGTCTAGGAAGCCCTTTTTATTTTACTTTACTTTATTTTATTTTATTTTATTTATTTCTTCTTCAATTTTAAATGGTAGCCTTTCTGGGTAAAGTAGTCTTGGTTTTAGGGTGAGTGACTGTGAATGAAATTTTATTTTTCCTTTAAGAGGGCATCTGTGACTCCAGGGGACTCTTGTCTCTTCCTGTGTTATTAGAACCAGTCTGTGGCCACCAGTGCCCAAGTGAGTTTGGCAGCAGCATGGAGATCTGAATAAGTTCTTTTTTTTTTTTTCTTTTAAATATATTTTATTGATTTTTTACAGAGAGGAAGGGAGAGGGATAGAGAGTTAGAAACATCGATGAGAGAGGAACATTGATATGCTGCCTCCTGCACACTCCCCACTGGGGATGTGCCCGCAACCAAGGTACATGCCCTTTACTGGAATTGAACCCGGGACCCTTCAGTTCGCAGGCTGATGCTCTATCCACTGAGCCAAACCAGTCAGGGCTGAATAAGTTCTTATTCTTTTTTTAAATATATGTTTTTATCATTTATTTCAAAGAGGAAGGGAGGGGGGGAGAGAGAGAGAAAGAGAGAGAGAAAGAGAAAGAGAGAGAAAGATCAGTGATCGGCTGCCTCTTGCAAGCCCCACACTGAGGGATCAAGCCTGCAACCCAGGCGTGTGCCCTGACCGGGACTCGAACTGTGACCTCCTGGTTCATAGGTTGATGTTCAACCACTGAACTACACCAGTTGGGCTAAGTTCTTATTCTTTTTTTAAATAAATGCCTTGGCAAATGATTTTTTCTTTTTTGAGATAGGCCCAGTCACCTTGGCAGTGTTATGTTACAATGGCCTTTAAAATATTTTACCAGATGCCGTTTTAATTGTTTAATTTGATGGGTGCATTAGGGACAGTGATTCACTGTATCACTTTGGAAAAGCTGCTCTCTGTCAGGTTTGTGAACAGCTTTATTGCTTAGTTCACGTAAAGGTCAGTGGAGCTAAAAACATACACTTTAGTGGGTGATGTCATAAATATGTGTCACAGGTGCTTTCCCTCGGTGGTTAAAAGAGTACCTTTGTGTCTCTGCAGGAAGGTGTAGGTATGTGTGGTCTGTGAATATGTGTGTGTGCGTCTGCGGGCTCATGCACATCTTGTTTGAAAGCCCAGTCTTACAAACTTAAACACTGGATCCTTAAATCTCTATCTTATGAAACACCAACATTTCCTGTGAATTTATCGTATATCATTGGATTTGATAGGCATTTCGTCTGTGTGACTTCGAAATGCAGACTTTGGGTCAGGAAAATGAAAAGCTTTGTGGTAGGTTTTGTTTGTTTAAAAAAAAAAAAAAGAAGAAGAAGAAGAAAGAAAGAAATGGATGCCGTTTAGCTTGGCAGCCTTACAGGTAACTTCAGACCTATCTCAGCTTTTTCCTGGCCAAAGAGACTATTTCTTTCCTTTTGTTTCTTAGTTTGATGAAGTGTTAAGATTTGTTCATTTTAAAACAAACCTTTGAAAATGAGGAAGCTACATTGTTTAGTTCACTGGACTGGGAGCCTTAGAGACAGGTTCTATTCTCAGCTCTGGAAAACTCTCTTAAAGCAAAATCATAGGATCTATTTAAAAAAGGTAGGACTGGGCTCTCCCTCCTGGGAGCACTCCCATGCCTTTCCCCTCCCCCACCTCTTCCCTCCAGGCTGTTACCATTACCTTCCTCAATCTCAAGCTCCGAGGGCCTTTCCTTTAAAAAAGAAAAAAGAAAAGAAAAGTAGCACTCTAGTTTGAGAGAGTTCATTTTACTTTCTAATCAGTGTTGGAAGCATGTATTAACTGAAAAGTTCTTGGCAAAGTTATACTATCTAAACAGGCAAATTTCAAATCCTGGAAGAGAGTATTCCTTTGCGTTACATTTTTCTAACACTTTTCATTCTCTTCTTGACTATAATCCTTCATTCCTAGTAGAATAATACAAGATTCGTCTATTCATGGAGGATGGGAAGGGGATAAGATATTTTGGATAAAGTTACTATCTGTCTAATATCAAAATTTTACCATATATAATCCCCAACTCCAATTCTAGTGGTCTGGGGGCTGGGGTGGGAAATGGGTTACTCTAATCTACAGCTGGGACTGTTGATGACTCAGTTAATGCCTGACACCACAGAGAAACTCATCTCTTTAGATATGCTGGTTCAGACTTTGAGATAGCTTTTTTTTTTTTTTAGCCTTCTGTATTCAGGCAAAGCATATCTGCATTAAAGACAAACAACAAAACAAAACTTCCTTAAGCAAATAACAATTATGAAGGAAAAATACAAACCTGAAAACCAGATGATGAACAGAATGCAATTTCTGAAGATGGTGCAGTGAACAGTGCATAATAATTGGTTTCAGAAGAGTTAAGCTAGTCTAGGAATAGTCACATTTACTGGTTTTGTGCCTTTAAGCAACTGACTTAATCACTTTCTCTGCCATTCATCTGTAAAATAGAATACTACTTCATACAGCTAGCTGGGGATCAAATGATAAGCCTGGAAGTACTTTGTTTAAAGATAGGTTAGTTGTGTTCATGACATAGGCCTGCCTTGGGGCTATTGGGTCCATTTGGTGCACAACCCAGTTGTTTTTCTCCCCTTTGTGGAGCCTAAGGAGAAATAATTTCAGACTGTGCCGTCACACGGAGGGCTTCTCTATGTCTGCATGATCTCCCTTCTCTTCCAATCCTGTCTGTGGCTCCCTAGCTGAGGTCAGAAATTGCCTGCTGTGGCCACAGGTTGCACTGTATTTCCTCTGCAATCACTCCACCAGCATCCTCACCTTTTCCTCCCTTGCTCTGTCTCAATACCTCATTCCCTGAGAGAACATCTTGTGTTCCTGGGGTCAGCGGCAACTTTTGGATACCTTCCTTGCCCCTCAAAAGTTGTCTAATTTCCAGTCTCTAGAGCAGTAGTTCTCAACCTTCCTAATGCCGCGATCCTTTAATACAGTTCCGCATGGTGTGGTGACCCCCAATTTCATTGTTACAAATTTAACATAATTAAAGCATAGTGATTAATCACAAAAACAATATGTAATTATATATGTGTTTTCCGATGGTCTTAGGTGACCCCTGTGAAAGGGTCATTAGACCCCTAAAGGGGTCGCGACCCACAGGTTGAGAACCACTGCTCTAGAGGTTCTGTCTTCTCCCCACTCTGGTTCTCTCTGCTGTGTTGGCTTATCCAAAACATATTTTTTACTGGGATGTTGAGGCAGATTCTTGCCTTATTCATCTGGGCTTGAACGAGGTGGGAGCTCTCTCCATTTTGCTCATGCACAATGGTGGATAGAAACTGGTCTTCCCACTTTAGAAAGGCTCCAAGTTACCCAGGGTTTCTACATGAGTTTCAGTTTCTTTGAGAAAGTAGACTGGAGGATGAAGAAAGCTCCTAAGTGTTTTTATCCTTCTCAACTAACTAATAGTAATTGTGGCGGTGCTACTACTAGTAATAATTGTGACAGTGGCAGTAGCAGCAATCATCATCATCATCATCGTTGTCCTCTCAATGTTGTCATTGTAGTAGTTGACATCTATTGCCCCCTTTTACAGGCAGGTAGGATGAAAAGTTCTTTAGATGCATTGCATTATGTAAACCTCATCATGACCATGTGAGATGAGTCAGTTACTGCTCTTGCAGCCGTGAGAAACAGAAAGAAACTCCAAGGCTCTGAGAGGAAGTCACTTGCCTGGGGCCACAAACCGAGAATCTGGAGAATCACTCTTCAAACACAGATGATCTGATTTCAGAACCGGAATACAGTGCTAAGTGGTATTACGGAATATATTCATTAGCTCTTTGGCAGAGGTCACTAACTCAAATTCCCATAAGAGCCAGGCCAGAAATGAAAATGAGTACGAACGCCCACAGTTAGCAAGGCAACCGTGCAGGCTGGACAATCAATGGCACCTGACACTCTTCCTCGGTGTTGGGGTGCAATGAGGCAAGATGAGGACTGTGGCTTACTGAAGAACGTATGCCCTGGCTAAAAGAGCTAGCTGCTATTTACTCCATCTGTTGTTCTCATAAGGGAATAGGCGTTTGAAACATGAATTTTTGGAAAGATGATGGAAATAAGGATTTTATATCATATTTCCTGGTTGTTAAAGGCTGACAATGAACTCAACAAAACGAAACTAAATACTGTGAAGGTTAAAGTAATTATGTTTGGGGACCAAGTTTGGCCTGGTTTGTAACCTCTCTCAGGGTAAAAAATGTGCAACGGTCTAAGCATTTCAGTGAGTGACGACAGTGCACGGAGATGTATTGTTCCCCATTGGCCAGGAGTCAGCAGGGCCATCCTTCCCCACTCCATCTACTACTGCTTAACAGACAACTGGGAAAATCCCAGTTTATTAAATGTTGTACAAAGATGGAAAGAAATAACAAAAATGACAGTAATTTCTATTCTTGAGTACCTATTGTGTGCCAAGAGCTTTAAATTGGCTATTTCATTCATTTTAGTCCCATAGCAATGCTGTTTAACAGGTGAGGAAAGAGGTTTGAGAAGTTAAATAACAACAGCAACAACATCTGGCCAAAGGTGTTCCTCAAACTAGGGGCAGGATGGGTTTGCATCTGCATGTGCATTATCCCGAAGCCATGGGTCTTGCTGCCCAGCTCGCCTACCTTCCCAGTGTGCTATTGGTGGGAGCTCAGCATTATTCTGGAACTCAAGAACCAGTAAGCCGAGACAGACTTTCCATGTTGTGATTTTAGGTTTCTGTGGGGATAATTTCTCAAATCAAAACGATCTCCGCACACTACGGAAAATTCTTCCATTTCACGCTAGCACCCAACCTGAAACCCTAGCCTTCAGAGATACTTTTTCGTGAACAAGTATACTCCTGGGAAGGTCCCAGCTTAAGCAGCCTTTCCTTCATTCACATGTTAACATGAAGTTAATCAGATTACATCCTTCAAACAACTTCCTGACATCATGGGAATTTTCCCGGGACAGCAGGACAGAGAAACAGGCCGTTCTGAAGTATGGGTCACCATTCAGGTGGCGTGAATGGATGTTGGAACTTGGAATAGGCAGGCTTCTGGATGCCTCAGAAGCAGGAGAGGGGACACACAAGTCTGTTAGCTACTTTACTTTTTGTATAGAGCTGTCCCCTCAAATGGATGAGGCCATAGTATTGCTTGGTGCTTTTTGCCCTGTTCTATTTACTCTACAAGAATGCAGTCTTTGCTTAGGCTGGTATGCTCAGTGATTAGAGCATCTGCCTGCACACCAAAGGGTTTGATCAAGGGCATTTACCTACGTTGTAGGTTCACTCTCCCCCACCCCCAGTTGGGACTTGTGGGGGAGGCAACCAGTTGATATTTTTCTCTTCCCCTCTTACTCTCTCCCCCTCTATCTCTCCCCGCCCCCATTTGCTTCCTCCCTCCTTCCCATTTTCTTAAAAAAAAAATATATATATATATATATATATCCTCATGTGAGGATTTTTTTGAAAAAGAAAAGGAAGCTGAAAAAAATGGTCACCAAATGGCTGTCTCTAAGGGAAAGGATTCTGATGGACTTTTAAAATATTTAAAACTTTTTTTATAATAAGATAACTCATTTTAGAAGGAGAACAAACAAGAGTTTTGTTACGGAAACAGCGTGAATAAAGACATTCTTAGCTGTCAAGGTGTGGTATAAACAAGGTGGGGAACTTTTACTGCTTCCCTGGTAACATCTGGAATTACCTCAAGGAGAGGGGTCCTCCTGAGGTCAGAGGGCACATGGAAGGGGGCAGTGGAAGGGCTGACTTGCAAAGTCCTACTTGGTCTTTCTCTCCTTGGCCCCAAGGAGTGTGCTGTTCCCCTCAAATTTTTCCTCCTTCAGGAGAAAATAAGCAGAGTTGGAAGAATTCAGGGTGATTCAATGCTGAGTTCTCTGACATCTGCCAAGCCTTCGTACTGACTGTTATTTATTACGCAGCTTTGCCTAAAACAACCCCTTAATGTTTAATGTGCCAACCCTTTTAGAATTTGCTCATGCTTCTTTTTAACATGACTCTCTCCCAACTATTTAGCAATTTCAGGTTAGTTTTAATGTCTTCCCTTTTTCTTTCATTTTGGACACCACTAATTATGAAAAAAATTTATTCTCTTATAGTGGTTCAGATGCAGCTTGAGATCCTCAACTCGTTCCCTAATTACTTGTCAATGGTAATTGTTATAGTGCCTTAAATATAGAATATTGTCTTTCTGCAAAAGTTTGAATTTTCCAAGAGTAGACAAATAGTGGTGTTTTTTTTTCAGCTTTATTGAAGCATAACTGACAAATAAAATTGTAAGATATATAAGTGCACAATGTGATGATATGATATAATAAGAGTAGTAAGTGGGATAAGGCTCCATAATACAGCCTCGGCTCCTTGTACCTACACAGCTCTCACTGACCAGTCTCCAGAGTTTGTTCGAGCTATTGAAGAGGAGGAAGGCTACAAAGAGGAATGTCGGTGGCTAGGAGTTCAGAAAGCTCTGTGGCCATGCAAGACAAAATGGTCATCAGATCCTTTAAAATCAAATTTGTTATGTAATTATTTCATTGGTTTAACCCAGAAACATCTGATACTGGGAAAGGCTTTTATGGGTAACTGCTCTATTCTCTGTGATATTCATGGAGATAAAAACCATTTATTTAGTTCCAAGAAATCTGCTCCACATCAGTGTCTTTTAATATGACATGTTCCTCAATGATTTCTCTTTAAAAATCTGTCCACCTCTGTGATCTGCTCTCTTGTCAGCTCATTTATTTAATTCTGGCTGCCCTTTTCTAAATTGAAGCCATCAGTGTTCTTGGCGCCAGCAGATTCCTGTCAATCCCCTTTTCATCCATTACTTCCCTGTCGATAGCTAAGGCCGCCCATTGGCACCCTAACCTGCAGCCACCAGAATTGCTTGCTTGTGCTCCTCCAAACACGTCCTGCTCTTGTGACCCCCTGACTTCAACAGCTGTGTCTTCTAAGGCCTTCTTTCTCCCGATCTGTGATGAAACCACCCCATGATTCTTTGAGACTCACTGTATACCATATCACCTCCCCCTACCTCTCTGCACCTCAGCCTTCTGCCTCAAGCAAAATAAGACTGTCTGCCCTTTGTGCTCCGACATCACAGATGTCAGACCCTCTGTCTCTCTGTGCAGACCACTGTTCCTCCAGGCGGCGTGCAAGTCGGTCCCATGCAGGAAGGTGCAGGTGCAGGAAGGCAATGTGAGCTCTTCTATTTATGTTTATTTCAAATCTAGGGAAACAAAGTAAGCTTTTCCCATCTTTAATGCATGGATCCATTCAGCTACCTTCACCTAGCCCCTCATTATACCAAGTTGCATCTCACTCATTTGCCCATATTCAGCGTTCTGTGAAATGTTATAATTACCTTTATCTGGTTGTTAAGAGGATTCACAAATTATGGAAATTTTTTTTTAAAGCCAAAACTAACCTTCATAAAATGGACAAGTGCCTTAAATGTATTCCTACAAATATCCCTGGATTCCAGGTGATACGGTAATATGGGCACAACAGATGACAAGAAGAAGCCAGATCAGTCTATGAGGACTTTGTTAGCTGCCGTGCAGCATGTGGCTGTGGGCAAAAACAAGTAGTGGACCTGCCATCAGACCCATTATAGGTGAAAACAGTCACAGTAGCAATCTGATTGCATTTTACAGAAGATTTAAAGGGATGAAGATCATTTAAAATATAGATTTACATCAACTATTGCTATTTAGGAACATTATCCTGGGAATTTATTTTGCCCTGAGATATTAGATAAGAGGAATACGATAATAGTATTAAAACTTGCAAATAGTAAATATCCATTATTGACAAAACTTACTAAAAATGATTAGGAGTGTGTAATAAAGTTTAGAGACCACTGCCATGAGTTTCGACACTGTTGCAGGATAGAGACCGTCGTCTTCATCCTTGTAGCTCAGCACCTAGCATAGTGACTGGAACATGGAATATATACCCGTGGTAAATATTGAGTGAATAAATCAATGGAAGAACCAACACAGAAAGAGGAGTGCTCTGCCGAGAAACCTGAGTCATTTTTCTAGCTTAAGCTGGTACCTGGTGCAACCTCAGTAGAGGTGGGGAACCGAGATAAAAATCAGGTGACTCAGATGCAGGAAGTAGATTTATGTCTGAGCAGATGTAGTGAAATTATGACCCTACAGCATAAATATACCTAGTGAGGTCATCACTTCCCGTCTCCCAGGAAGGAGAGACTGCCAGTTAAATGGAAGAATTTGAGATCCTTCTCCTTGTGATTTCACCCGAAAACTGCACCTCATTGCTCGGATTCTCATCCTGCTCTTGTCCTCTCACACCTTCCACTGGTGCCTCTGGTACTGTGGAAACTTTGTGGAGACTTGAAATGTTGACCTAAATTCTTGAATGATTTTATTTATCTCCAGTGTGATCAAAGTCCCAAAGGTATTTTCTGATAAATGCTTACAATTGTACTTACACAATTCTGCAAGTCCAGGCCTCATCCTTCAGTATGGTGGCAAAAGTCTTTCAAATTCATGTCATGATAACTGCACCAAAAATCTC